GGCCTTAGTGCCAAAACAAAAATCTTTGGCTCTACTGCCAAAATCAAAATTCTGGCCCCAGTGCCAAAAACAAAATTTCGGCCCTAGTGACAAAACCAAAAATTCTGGCCGTAGTGCTAAGAAAACCGAAAAAGATCCTTGCCCCTGTGCCAAAACAAAAATCTTTGGCCCTAAAGCCAAAGCATCCCCACTAGCTAGAATGGGGCAATGCCCACTAGGGGAACGCACTAGCTGGTCCATCAGGAGGCATCGTTGACATAGAATGGTAAGCCCTTCACGAGGCAGCCTATCAGCACACTCTCCTTGAAAAAGAAAAGGACTCCAACAGCATTGGGAAGGAAGCACTTAAGCAAGACCCTCAACCGCTAGATGCCGGTGATCAAGAAGAAGCTTAGCATGGTCTCCCTGTCAAGGATTGTGCTGATGTCGATGATCGAGAAGAAAAATATTTTGTTGCGAGCCAATAAACACGTCTTGGTAAGGATTCGTAAAGGTGAACTTCGACGATAAAATCACATTCTGAATGTTTCACTTCTCGCTTCTCTCGAAGAGGAAAATCCATTGGGGGAAGTGGCTCAAACAAGAAGAGAGCTAGTGACAACCTAATCCTGTTGGTACCCAAGTCCCAAGACACTGCTGGACAAAAGGAACACCGCAGAATAAGCCTAACACTAGGAAACCTTGGAAAAAGTACCGTCACGCCACAAAGAGACCTTCCAATTACAACCCTGAGCTAGGGGCTTTAAAAACAGTACCAAACCACCGCCGTTACATCCAGAACGTCGAAAAACCCTTAAAGGTGGTTCGTTTTTTCGAAACGACTATCATATATGCATGTCGTATGATGGCATGTGGATGAGGCTTTGGCCCCCGTCTCTGAAGGCCACCATCATACACAAGGGCTTACTAGTCCTTTTGATGGCCACCATCACATACAAGGCCCCCGTCTCTGAAAGCCACCATCACACACAAGGGCTTACCATCACACATCAAGGGATGACCCATTAAAACCTTAATGGTTAGTTTTCTATGCCCAGGTAACATAGGTCTTTCTCAACCGACTGGCCTAATTTGTAAAGCTTAGTTCGGTATCAGCAAATGTAATTTGCTTAGTATGGTCCATGAAGGACCATACTCCTACTGAGTTCATGTTCTATTATATCAAAATGTTTATTACAAATACTCATAAGGCCTTTAATTCCATTTAATGGTTATTGTAAAGAAATGGGACTTTATGTCTTTATTTATTTATTTATTTATTTACTTATTTATTTACTTGTACTGTACCCGAATGAGTCACTCGGACTCACCTGAGTACTTCTCCTCGACCAAGATCTAAGTGTCTTGGTTGAGTTGATTTTCGGTACACTAGTATGTATTAAAAAGGAATATGTAGTTATAGATATATAATAATTACACAGTGATACATATATATAATTTGTACAACAAGATTTAACCTATAAACCCATATCAAAACCATATTAAATATGGTTTACAAATTAATATGTAAATTCCATTTAATTATAGAGATTTAATAGACAAATCAATCTGTGTAGTTACAGAGAAATTAAAATTGTTAGACAGTTGTTTTAATGAGATTAGTATTTGTGTTTCAATGTTTTCCTCATTTGATGCTCGAAGCGCCTGGTTGTTTGAGAAGAAACCGCATGCGATAGTTGAAGAATTGAATTATAAAACATGCAAATATAGAAGTGTTTATGTTTGAATAGGAAAAAGTGACTAGCTTTGTTTTTCGTGCCCCATTAACATGGCATTATGCCTTGTAGATTTAACTAGTGAATCCCAATATGGCAGAAACAGAAAAACATAAGATCGGATAGAGATTGCATACTTTTTTTTTGAGGTTCAAGTGCCCTTTTGCAGTTTGTGCTGATCTTTTCTTTCTTCTTCCTCTTGAGGCTTGCAATTACTTTGGTGGATAGTTCAATGCTCTCCTTTCTTTTGGTGCACACTGTTTCTCCAGGTCCACAGTTCGATACTGCATCTTTAAGTGGACTTTGAATTATTAGAACTAAAAGCACAATTTACACAACGAAAAGGGGATTTAGGTGCTGGCTCACCGTGACTAGCAATCTTGTCTCTTGTACAATGATTCCCTCTCAACTAATTTTATCGGTAATTTGATATCCATATTTCATGAGATTCCTTTCTATTTCTCACTACTGATAACAAAAATCTAGAAGTACCATGAATGTTCTTCGCCTTATAGCTCCTAAGAAAATAAAAAATACATGGTCTTACACCCACATGGGACAGATTCCATATGTAACAATCCCACACTTCGATCGCATTGGCTTGATCCGAAATTTCTATTAGCTGAGAATTATGCTTATGTGTCTTCCATGAACGCAAATTTGTTTTGAGCAATGTTCCTCTTCCCTCTTGGGTTGGAATTTTATGTGTTCTACTAAGCATCTCATCAATGCCATTGAAATTGCGCACATGGTTGATTCTCGATGGGGGGGGGGCATCAACGAACAGAAGAATGACTTCATTGCATCAACCTTTCTTATCTTCTTGTTGATTATAATATAATAACTCCGATAGGGCAAAGCCAGAGTTGGATTTGTCTTGCCTATAAAAGGTTATGCGAAGGTTTTCTAACGTGATAAGATGGGCTTTTCCTCATGGAGGAGGGTGGGTTTTGAAGGTTACAATGACATTGTCTAAGAACATCGATCTCCAAAAAAATAGGTCTTCAACGACATGATCTCTTTGAAATCATAGGTCTCTAACATGGGGACATGATCTCTTTGAAATCATAGGTCTCTAATATGGGGAATGTATACAATGAGACCATTTATCTTTCTTACAAGGTCATAGTTACTTTTAGCTTCAGCCATTCGATTTCTAATTGGATGCTTTGGGGTATGTTATCAAGTTCGATAATTTTTTTTGAACTTTGAGTCTAGTCAATGGGACTCTTGCAAATGCTCGATTTGAAATCTACATATAAGAATGTTTATTACCTTTTTATACCAAAAAAAAATGCTTTCTTTATATACTTTTTCCATCTCCAATTTGTTTATCATTATTAAAGTAGGTTTCTCCAATCAAATAGCTCTCTACCTAGTAGATAACTATTGAGAAAAGAAATGTTTTGATAGGGCTGCAGTCCTATCAAAATAAGTAGAGCCTCACCGCAAGACTCACTTAGAATTGCAGTTCTAGCATCGGAAAACCTTCAACTCGATCAACTTGGCCTCGACCATTATGGTTGTGGAAAAATTAGAATTTCATGCCTCAGAAATAGTGTAGATTGTAACACATAATTTAGACCGTCATTTCGTCGTAAAACCAAAACAAATGTTCTATATCATTTTTTTAGCTTCAAATTTCATAGTTAGTGTTGGAAATTTATTTTAGAACCATCGTCAAGATTTCCGATGCCCAAGGCACTTTCTCGAAGGAGGATTTGAGAGAAGGCTTTCGTTTATTTTCATTTTTGAAGCTTTAAACTTTATAAATAAAGATGAAAATATATTTTTAGGCTTTCACAAAGATTTCCAATATTGAAACCATATTCTCAAAACTATTGAAGGTAGGCTCTAATTTGATTGTTTAGAGCTAGGTTCTCTATAAAAACCGCACCCTAAAAAGAACTATTTATGCTTTTTTTTTCTGTTTTTTTTTTGAGAAGGGAAGAAGAGAAGAGAACTATTACTTGTGCTTAATGGGGCGTTAGTATCGATGTTTGATGTGGCTTTGTTGGTCAACAAAAGGTCTATGAAAACTTAAAAATCTTGAAAATTGACGGTCAAAAAATGTATTGTAAAATATGTTATTTTCAAAACTTGAAATTCATTTTTTTCTCATGTCCACATATCTTGATTTTGAGATGATCAAATTGAAGATATTTGAGCATCAAAACAACCTCTCTTAATGAAATTTTTGAGGATATTTGAGCATCAAAACAACCTCTTCTAAAGAAATTTTTGAGGTAGACTCAAATTTGATCGTTTAGAAGACTCAAATTTGATTGTTTAGAGCCTCGGCTCCCTATATAAACTTTCATTTTATTTTTAAACAATTTACATTTACCGCACCAAACACGAATAAGAAGGCCGCATAAGGGTAAGAGCGTGATTCTCTCTTACTTTTTGAGAAGTGTGAAGAGTGGATTTCTAACGCTTAGTGGAATGGAATTAGATTCATTTTGCGAGTTGTGACCTCGTAGAGTTCCTAGGCAAATCCTTCGAAATATCAAAATTTTGCTTTTTCAAGAAATTCTCGAGTAATGTGAAAAGTAAAAACTATTAGCATTTTATAGCTATGTTTTTCTTTTTTTTCTTTTTTTCTTTTTTGAACGGCAACTGTAAAGAAAAAATGATGAAGTACAATAATATGTGTAAAAAAAAAAAAAGTACAGAATTGAAGAAACAAAGAAAAACAGAGGAAGAAGATTAGAGCGAGGCCCCCTCTTTAGGAAAAGGAAAAGAAAATAACTGAAGAAACAAAGATAAATAGAGGAAGAAGATTAGATCGAGGCTCCCTCTTTACCCAAGTGATCAGCATCATCATTTCGCTCTCTTAAAATTTTGTCTTTTTCCATCTTCGATCTACTTAAAATTACATAACTCTCATATATCTAACAAGGCATTTCCTTTCTAAACGTATGGATCATATTTTTCAATTTAATTTATATTCCCCACTCACCACAAATCATTATCCCCACCAAAAAAAAAAAAAGGGGAAAATTTCCTCTCTTTGCTAGTTAAACAATCTTAATCCAAAGATTGAAAACTGTAATTGTAGAAGGGGTTATCAAAAGTTGTCTTTGCCGTAAAATTTCACCTTGTTATTCATTCACAATTGCATGGTAGAATTAGAAGGAGTCATGAGAAGCAAAAGCCATGTTTTTCACATCAAACCATTCATCAAAACGCCCACAAAAAAGAAGAAATATGTAACATAAATATGACACATGAACCATGATACATATCGATCCATATCATACGCAGGCCTCCATTTATCAAGGTTCAACTGATCGCCGAGATTTCCCACGTAAGCGCACGTGACTCGTCCATTCGCCCACGACTAGGAGGGAGAACGACAAACCTCGAAGAAAAATCGGCACGATTCGGCGAGTCCTCATCTCCGTCGTCGTGCTCTCCGCTATCAAAATTCATGGCATAACTCAAAGGATCGTACCTAAAATCGCCAGTCGCTTTTGGCCCGCAAAGCCCTTCCCTCCCTATCTTCGCGATCATCGACCGGCACCTCCCTTTAAATTCAGGTAATTCTTGTGCCCGGACCTTGAGCTTGTGGAGGAGCGTTGGCGTTCCGGAGTCCGGTGAATCACCGGAGCCAAAGCAGCATGAGAAGATGGAGGCGCATCTGGGATGTTGAGATTTGGGATCGTCGGCCATGGCTTAGTGAGAGAAAGTGGGGGTGGTGTTTAGGAGGAGAGAGTGAAGGTGTTGCAGAGGAGTTTGAGGGGAGATGCAACATAAGGCGAAGGAGAGCGAAACGGCGCGTTTGGATAAGAACACGGCTGCCACGCTGCAAAAAAACAAGTTCGGTAGAGAGAGAAGCGGTTTAGAGAGAGAGAAAGCGGTGGTGGGAATCCAGATGCGGTTTTAGATGTTTTTGCTTGGGATGATATTTTCCCTTCTTTTTATTTGTTTTATTATAATAAATATTATACATTACCCTTTCATTCACCGAAAAATAACGAAACTCGCGCTTCACTTTTGCTTTTGTGTCAAAGTATACTGATTTTTACTCCTGCGGGAGTCTGCTATCTATGTACTCCCTCGGACAAAAATTAATAAATTACACTAATGATACCTTTTAGACCCCAAATTTTCAGATAAAAAAAAGTAAGAAAGGGCAAAAATTAATTCTCAACCCCCATGTGTCAAAAAAGCATACCATGACGAATGGAACCATCAAATTTTTGAAGAGAATGATTTAGGTGATCAACATTACCTTCAGCCATGTATATAGATGGGCTAATACTTTGGTAGATGTCTTTGTTAAGAAGGGGGCATCTCTTCCTTTATTAAGAGTATCCCTTTTTTCGTTCTAATGTTGTTTTCTTTTTTTTGTTTTTTTATCTGTTGTTATGGTTGTAATGACTTCATGATTTAAATATTATTCAACACTCTTGTCAAACAAAAATAAAAAGAAATAATTTAGGTGATCAAGAATTCAAAATCTAAATTTTTTTTAAAAAATAATCATCTAGTTATAATTAGATAAATTCCAAAAATTCAAATAATAAAAAGGAAAAACAAAACTACCAAGTATTTTTGCTTGAGGGAGTAGATGTATAATATATACTGCCGAGGGAGCAGAGTATTCCTGCTCAAAAGTAAATAAATCCAATTTCTTTTTTAATGTTCTCTTGTGGAGAAGAAAGTGGGGTGGAATAAACAACGGGAGAGAAGTGGGGAGTTTGAGAGAATCGACGATTCAACGAACTTCATACAAATTTGTACTCTCCTTGTCGTCGATTTGTGATTTATAGGTAGGTTAAAGATACAATACGACTCATTTTACTTTTAAGGAAAAATTTTATCTAAGTGCCAAGCTCTAAACAATCAAATTAGGGTGCATCTCAAAAAATTCTATGACGATTTGATATCTACCGTCTAAAAAATCAAATTAGGGCGCATATCAAAAAATTGCACGATGTTTTGACATCTACGTACCCTCAAATTGTTTATCTCGACTTCAAGATAGATAGATATGAGAAAAAAAAGAACTTCAAGTTTTGGAAATAGTGCATTTTGGATAGTCAATTTTCAAGATTTCAAGTTTTCAAAATTTTCATCGATCCCCACTGTTTTTGAAGTTTTAAATTTTGTAATTAAATATAAATATTATCTTTGGTATATATACGCCTTGAAGCCAACCACAAGAGAGAGGGAGAGAGGTGTTCTTTTTTATCTTTGTTTTCCAAGTAATTTTGTATGCTTCTTGAAGAGAGAGAGAGAGAGAGAGACGTTTTTGTCTCGGAAAAGGATTTGGCGAGTTGTGCTAATGTCTCTTGACTTGGTTTACGAGGGTAGATGCCTTCTGGTACATAAATCCCTTTAGATTTATGAATTCGAAGGTTGAAAGACATTTCAACAGTTAAAATCAATATTCCAAGAAAAGAAACTACAAAGATTATTTTGAAGATCACATTTGTTTATATTTATTTTTTTGGAATCTATGATTGCTGTAGCCTGATAGACCTATAAAAATTGAGTCCAAAATCCGTCCTTTGAGGTACCTAAACTCTAACTTTTTGTTTTGGAAAAATATTTCATTAAATTATCAAACGACCTTGTTTACATCGACAATCTGAGATGACGTAGTTTTTCTCTTTGAAATTTCAAGTTTATAGAAAGAGAATTTTAGGTCAATATATGGGGGTATTTTCATCCAAGACAATGTTACTTTCTATTATGGTGGGTGATAGCAAAAAATAAATAATATATCAGATAAATGTGTAATTTAAAAAATATTGGGGAACCGTGCCTAGATAGTATGGTCTAGGAGGGTACACATAATTTTCCTATCAAAATAAGAGTAATCAGTCAATGGAAAAGTATAAGATAAGATGATTTGTGATTCACGAAATTTGTGATTCACTTCCGGCCTGCTTAATTTCACATCTAATAGAGTCATGTGAGAACTTCATGTACAAACCCTAGATAAATTTGTTTCAGAAGAGAATAAGAAACTGTTTAAATAGTGTACAAAATAAAAATATCTAGATATGTGTATCTTTGAAGGGAACATGAGTTCGACAACAAGGGCACACAGAATGAGCTTGGAGCCATGGAACCAAACAATTGAAGTGGAAGGTATGGGAACAAGGCATGTTCACTAAGACCTCCCCTACCTTGAAGCCTTCTAGGCACACAGCACACTCCTCCTTCCTCGAACCTTCCCAACTAAACCGAGCCCAGTTGAACCTCTTCTTCTCACTGCTCAATACCTCTATGTGAAGATCACCACTGCCAATCTTTTCCCCAAGTTTTATGCTGCAGAGGGATGATTTATTAAACATGGCTACCAGTCTAGTGGGACTCAACCAAATCCACTCCAACTCGGCCAAATTACTAGTACCTCGAGCTATATGACATCTCGAGGTACTTTAAAAAATTTAGAAAATATAAAAAATTAAAGTTTAACCCACTCCATTATATCTCCCACCCCTCCATTATATCTCCCACCCCATTATATCTGTTAACCCAAAAAAAGTTTCAACAATATTTTTTTTATTATATTTTTTTTGCCTTTTCATCCCCTCAATGTTAAGTTGAGGGCTCCCTATCTCTCTCTCATATTGGGTTGAAATGGTATAAAAAAGTTTGTTGAGACTAATTTTTATGGTCAAAAGCAGTGGTTTAAAAAACGGATTAGTGTCTCGGATCAGGCATCCCAAAAACCCATTTGGATCGGTGAATAGGCGATCCCGATCGAGAATCGGCCGACTCGGTCTGATTAAGCCTTAAAAATAAATTAACAAAACTTATTAAAATTGATTATAAATGTTGTTTTTTAGGAATCTAATAAAAAATGGGGGTACTACATTATTAACTTTCATTTTTTTCATCAATATGTGAATATTGAGATGTACTTTCCCTGTATGAACTTATTATGTCTACCATTAAATTTACATCACACAAAAGAAAAATCATAGAATTATCATGGATGAAGTATATAATCATACATGGACTACAATAAATAGTGGATTAAATCAATGAAAAAATGGCCACCAAAATCTCGAATTAAAGGAAAATCCTAATCCGCTAAAAAAAAACCCAAATTACTACAACTCACTAATTATAATCCAAAATTATTACAACCTAGCTAACTATAATATTATATACTGAAATTGAAATTGTTGGTTTATATTTTATAGTTTATTTTATTATACAAATAATGACAAAATCCAAAATATCTTATAATATCATCTAATTTAAAATATAGTATTGACAACTGTAAGAAAAAATACTACATCACATAATTTATAATGCAAATAAATTAAAATACATAAAATAAAATATTTGGTTATCAATGTAGTAATAAATTCTGATAGTAATAAATTCTGAAGTGGTATGAGTTAGTGTTATTTTTCTCTCTTAAAATATCCTTTAAACTAATATTTTTTAATATTCAATAAACTAAAATTAGTATTATTTTATTTTTTAATATCCTATGAGCTAGTACTAATTTTTAATCTCAATTAACTACTTAATAAATTATTAATCATATAATGAAATAATCCCGTGAGATAATAACCTAATAGAATTTTTATGTTTTATCTGAGTTGATAAATTTAGATTTTTTTTTATAGAAGATAGGGGTGGTGAGCACCCAATTATTATTTTTAATAATTTTTTCTTTTTTTATCATATAATTTAATTACCACCACCGAGTCGACTCGTCATTTTTTAAATCCCTGATTATAACTATTAACTATAATATAGTATTATAATATAAAATCAAAATAATTTAAAATATTAGAAAAACTTCCATATAATTTAAAAATAATTTAGTGTATATAAAAATAATTATATTGACATAAATTTAACATAATTATATTTAAGTTATTCACATAAACAAACAACAATTTCATATAATTATGTTATTTTTTTAAAATTATTATATAGCATTTTATTTTTATAATTATATGTAATTAAAGATTATATGTACTTTATATTTGTATATCATAAAAAATAAATAAATATATAATTAATCTTAAAAAGGATTAAATCTTAAAAATAAATAAATATAATTAATCTTAAAAAGACTATTTCATTTGATAGATGTCATTGTATAAGAGAGAAATCTATTTATAAAATATTTAATTTATACACCATTATACATATGAGGGAGAGTCTCTTCGAAGAAACTTGAGACTCTTCACATGGTATCAGAGCGAGTTTCATCTTAGTTGTGCCCATTCCTTGTCCCTGAAGTATTGTCGCCTATTTTTAAGATGAGTCTGTTGCTCACCCAGTCGATACAACTTTTGTCGAGTTGTGTTTCAGCTCGCTTCTGAGTCGTTTTCGACTCTCTGATCTGTCCCCTCTGCCGAGTCATGTTTCAACTATCTGATCTGTCTATTTGCCGAGTTGTGTTTTAAAACTCTGATCGGTCATGTTTCAAATCTCTGTTTTGTTTGATCTTTTCCAAGAGTTCCTGAAGCCATCTGTTCTTGAGGCTAGTTGATTCGCCACTACTTTTTGTGCTTGTTGATCAAGTAATCTGAGTATATACATGAAGATCCAACTGATCATTTCCGTGACTTGGTGTTCAAATTACAGTTACTCTCTTTCATAGCATCTTGAGTTTGAGGGAGTGTGAAAGGAAAGTATATAGTATATCTGGTTAATATAGAAGGTGTATATTGTAATCAGTAAAT